TGTGTGTGTGTGTTGTGTGTGTGTGTGTGTTGCAGGTGTTGGAGTCGAGCGGGCAGATGGTCGGTGCGACGGTGAGGAAGCTTCCTCTGGATCACAGCGGTGACCTGGTGACCGTTTACACCGAGGACCAGAGGGAACTGTGAGTCTCCGACGCACCGAATGTTCCACAGCGCGACTTTAAACCGCTCCACTTCACATCTGTTCAATCACACGAGAGGGGTCGCAACAAACGCAAACGCCGCTACAAATACAAATGCCACAACACAACAAAAAAAGCCACAACGCACCAAAAAAAGCCACAACGCACCAAAAAAGTCACAACGCACCTAAAAAGCCACAACAAAACAAAAAAAACACTACACAACAAAAAAGCCACAATGCACCAAAAAAGTCACAACAAAAGCAAAAAAGCCACAACGGAAGTGACTGTGAGACTCTATTTTAATGCAAACGGCGCAACACAAACACAAATGCCACAACACATAAAAAAGCCGCAACACATTTAAAAGCCACAACAGAAGTGACCGCGGGACTCTATTTTCCGACGGACTGATCAAGCGGCAAGTGAAGAACACTACTTTTCACGTTGTAGTTCTTCTTCTTCACTTGCCGTTTGATCGGTCCGTCGGAAAATAGAGTCCCGCGGTCACTTCTGTTGTGGCTTTTTAATGTGTTGTGTCTTTTGCGTTTGTATTTGTTGCGGCGTTTGCATTCAAATAGAGTCCCGCGGTCATTTCCGCTGTGGCTTTTTTTGGTGTGTTGTGGCTTTTTGTTGCGTTGTCGCATTTGTATTTGTTACGGCGTTTGCGTTTGTCGTGACCCCTCACGGCTTCTGTAGGTTTTAGAGCTCAGAAATACCTCCAAACCAGAGAGTCACATACCTCGTCTTTAACACCTCGCAGAGTCACGTAGCTGCTCTTCTTGTCGGTTCGATGTTCTGACGCTGAAGTGTGTTTATGTCGTGTGCAGGAGTGTCCCCGTGTGGAAACTGCGCGCTCCCCCAGAGACGACCTGGAGCACCGTGGTCCGAGAGAAGAGGGTCACTAACGGAGCCGGAGGTGACAACAAACACAAACTTTTTTTTTTAACATATATATATTTTTTATTTGATTTGATTTGATTTATTAATTTATTTATTTTTATTTATTTATTTTTTATTTATATTTATATTTTTAATTTATATTTATATTTATTTATTTATTTCAAACCCAAACTCTACAAATCACAGTCTGTTTACGTCCACAAAGCCAGAACATTCAGAACCGACCAATCAGACGCCTTCTTTCCTCGAGGCCCCTCCCCCTCCCGTTAGTATCATGACAACCAACGAGCCAATCAGGAGCGAGGCTGCTGAAGATAATGCTCCTTTTACACATTTGTAGAGTTTGTGTTTTTTATTTTATTTTTTTATTTATTATTTTATTTTATTTACATTTTATTTATTACATTTAATTAAATGTAATTAAATTTTTATTTATTTCAAACCCAAACTCTACAAATCACAGCCTGTTTACGTCCACAAAGCCAGAACATTCAGAACCGACCAATCAGACGCCTTCTTTCCCCGAGGCCCCTCCCCCTCTCGTTAGTAACAGGTTTGATTGACAGCGTTGCTAAGATGTAAAAGGAGCGTTATCTTCAGCAGCCTCGCTCCCGATTGGCTCGTCGGTTGCCGTGATACTTGTAGTCGACTTTACAAATATAGAGGCTGTACCTGCAGGTGTCACTGAGCTTCATTTGACTGGACACACTCGGGACACTTGACTTTGTGTTGTTTTTCGTTTTTGTCGTGCGTCGTCTGACTCTCGTGTTGTTGTTGTTGTTGTGTTTGTCAGAGTGGGAGCACCGCGGCCGGGGCAGAGGGACTAAAGCCTCGTCCGCTCCCCCCGGCGCGGCTCAGGGCACAGCGCCACCTGCGGGACGAGGGCCCAAGCAGCAGCAGCACTCGACCTGGACCCAAGCGCAGCCCCCCCTGGAGGAGCGAGAGGCACCGAGCAGGTGACGTACACTCACACTGACACTTCACAGCTCGCGTCGTTAACGTTCGCCGGGGGGGTGACGCTAACTGAGGGCACCGCTCTGTCTGAGGATCTGAGACCGAGGAGTTAAAGTGTCCGGTTTTCAGTCAAACTCCATGTGGACGTGAGTTCTGGACGTCCTGTGTTTTTGCGGTGTCGGCGCGGTGCGAATTTGGCGTCAACCAATCAGAGACGAGTATCCAGTGACGTAGCAACGTTCTTACACAGAAGAAGAAGAAAGAGAAAAACACCAGAACAAGAAACACCAGAACAAGAAACTCTACAGCGACACATGATCAGAGAATAAATATAAACACACAACAACAACTGAGCCGATCACCAGGACCAGACCTGGACCAGGACTGGACCAGGACTGGACCAGGACTGGACCAGGACTGGACCAGGACTGGACCAGGACTGGACCAGGACTGGACCAGGACTGGACCAGGACTGGACCAGGACTGAACCAGGACTGGACCAGGACTGGACCAGGACCAGACCCAGGACTGGACCAGGACTGGACCAGGACTGGACCAGGACTAACCAGACCAAGACTGGACCAGGACTGGACCAACTGACTGGACCAGGACTGGACCAAGACTGGACCAGGACTGAGGACCAACTGGACTGGACGACCAAGACTGAACCAGACTGACTGAGACTGAACAGGACTGGACCAGGACTGGACCAAGACTGAGACCAAGACTGAAGGACTGACCAGGACTGAACCAGGACTGACCAGTGGACTGAAACCAGGACTGACCCAGGACTGGACCAGGACTGGACGACCAGGACTGGACCAGGACCGGACTGGACTGGCTCTGGACGCCTGTCAGTTATTTTTCTCCCTTTTTTTCTTCTTCTTGGTCCGCGGCGTCTGACCCCAAATGTCAAGGCTCCAACTGAAGGCGTCGGGCGTGTTTTTTTGACGCTCTTGGTCTGAACTCAAATCACAGAAAAGGAAAAACTGTTTGTGTCCCAAAGTTCAGGAAACATCAGCACCAGAGCAGAAGGTGGAGGTCAAATGATCAAATTATCCAAAAGATAAGAGCTCCACACAAACATTAAGACCAGACAGTTTGTACAGCGCAGAACTGAAGCCTCCAGAGCCACGCCAACAACACCTGTCACACCTGTCACACCTGTCACACCTGTCACACCTGTCACACCTGTCACACCTGTCACACCTGTCACACCTGTCACACCTGTCAACAGAGTCCTATGAGTTTGGTCTTATAGATGTTTAAAATCAGAACTTCGGGGCAGGAGGAGTCACCATGTTCTTGTTTGAAATGTTGAACTATAAATATTGAGCTGATGTTTTAGTTTCAGTGTTAATGTCTGCGCTGGTGCTGACACTTTCCTGCGTAAAAGCTCAGACCTGAACAGAGCGTCGCCTCGTGAGTGTAACGTTCGGTGTGTGTGTGTGTGTGTGTGTGTGTGTGTGTTTGCAGTAAGTCTGAGCCCGTGTCGTTCGGTCTGACCCTGGAGCAGCGTCTGGCCAAAGAGGAGGAAGAGAGAAACGCCGCTTTAGTGGAGCTGCAGTTCCCAGACGACAGGAGCTTCCCTGCCCTCGGAGTGAGTCCAAAAACTCAACTTTAAATCTGTTTTGGTTTTGGTTTGGTTTGTTTGTCTGTCTTAGATTTAGACTTAGACAAACTTTATTGATCCACAAGGGAAATGACTTGGACACAGGAGTCACACGTCACATTAACAGTAACGGAGAGTAAAAAATATGTTAAAAAACGGTAATAAACTTTTCAATAAGTTGCTAATGGCCTCGGTCAAGCAGAAGTAAACAACAAGGCCAAAACTTCAAGTGAATTCATCTGATATAAAAGTGTATTGAACAGATACATATGTACTCGAGTTTATCAAACTGTTGACCTTTTTTCTGTTCCATTTTTGGTTCTAAAGTTCCATCTGTTTTAAACAGACCATGAATGAAACATGGAACAAAAATTATTTCCCAAATTTCAAAGACCCAAAAATCATGTAAATAAATGTTTGTATTTCATCATATCTTGTGTTATTCCATCTTTGAACTGTTGATGAAGGGACAGGATTTAAAAAAAAAAAAGTATTTAAAATGATAAAAATGTTCTTGGACTGACATATTTTATAGAAATAGTTTCTTTCATTTTGAAGTAATATTAAAATTTTCAGAAGAAAAAAGTGACAAATGATGTAAAATCCTGCACCTTCTACTTGTTTGTTCAATTTTCCCTCTGTTACTTTTCCCTCCGTTACCATGAACTTTATTAATAAAAAATCTCATGAGTCAAAAAGTCAGAGGTTTTTCAACCTAATCTTGTACCATATGGTAGAAAACTATATGAAGCAAATATTCAAACCAGTTTGTTAAGGATATGGAAGTGAGAACCAAGAGTTATCACTGTTTGGATTTATTGACCAAAAAGTGCTGCATATTTCATTGAACTTGAAAGAATCTCACAGGTTTAACTTGACCCTGTTGGAGTGTAACTCTTTCCTACATTCTGATACTTTACTTATTTCAATAGTTCCTCTAGTTTCTGAATAAGAAACATTTGAATGTCAAAAATCTGACCCTGTTTCGTCCGTTAACACTTGACCAGACACTTATGCACTGTGTCTCCGTGGTAACTGCTGAACCTCCCTCCATAGACACACATGTAGAACACCATGTTGAAAATGAAGCTGATATTTGATCGTCCTAATAGACTTTTCAAAGGTTTGACACTTTCTGAATGAGAAAGTTTCACTCACTTTTTTTTTTTGCTTGTAAAATTGCCCTGATTTTCTCCTCTGAAAAACCGTGTGATCTGAATAATCATAATTACTCACAGAGCGAACACGTGTCGACATTCTCTTCACAGATGCGACGCAAACCCGACTCAGACTTCAAACTTTACTGAGCCAAAAGGAAAACGGCAAACGGCAGCTCACACGTCGCATGATATTAAACTCACAAAGAGCAAACGTATAAATGGAAATAATAAATTCAAAATAATCTGAAAAAACAGCAGGAGACTGGAGCGAGTGAAATACAAATGTAGAAACACAGTAAATCTAACTTGTGCACAGTGTCTGGGAGTAACAGATTACATGTACCAGAGTAATCAGAGTACAAATGACGAGTAACTGTATTCAGTTACAGTTACTGTTTCAGTGAGTGGGAATTGGATTACAGTTACTTTGTTGAAATAAATGGATTAAACAGAGGGATTTTACTGTTTTCACATTTATTTTCTTTTTTTCTTTTTTCAGTAAATCCACTCACTGACGGACACTAAACCAGGACTAAACCAGGACTAAACCAGGACTAAACCAGGACTAAACCAGGACTAAAACAGGACTAAACTAAACCAGGACTAAACCAGGACTAAACCAGGTCTAAACCAGGACTAAAACCAGGACTAAACCAGGACTAAAACCAGGACTAAACCAGGACTAAACCAGGACTAAACAAACCAGGACTAAACCAGGACTAAACCAGGACTAAACCAGGTACTAAACCAGGACTAAAACCAGGACTAAACCAGGACTAAACCAGGTCTAAACCAGGACTAAACCAGGACTAAAAACCAGGTCTAAACCAGGACTAAACCAGGACTAAACCAGGTCTAAAACCAGGACTAAACCAGAAACCAGACTAAACCAGGACTAAACCAGGACTAAACCAGGTCTAAACCAGGTCTAGGACTAAAACCAGGTCTAAACCAGGTCTAAACCAGGACTAAACCAGGACTAAACCAGGACTAAACCAGGACTAAAACCAGGACTAAACCAGGACTAAACCAGGTCTAAAACCAGGTCTAAAACCAGGAAACCATAAACCAGGACTAAACCAGGACTAAACCAGGTCTAAACCAGACTAAACCAGGACTAAAACCAGGACTAAACCAGGTCTAAAACCAGGACTAAAACCAGGTCTAAACCAGGTCTAAACCAGGACTAAACCAAGGACTAAAACCAGGTCTAAACCAGGACTAAACCAGGACTAAACCAGGTCTAAACCAGGACTAAAACCAGGGTCTAAACCAGGACTAAACCAGACTAAACCAGGTCTACTAAACCAGACTAAACCAGTAAAAGGACTAAACCAGGTCTAAAACCAGGTCTAAAACCAGGTCTAAACCAGGTCTAAACCAGGAACCAGGACTAAACCAGGACTAAACCAGGACTAAACTAAAACCAGGTCTAAACCACCAGGTAAACCAGGTCTAAAACCAGGTCTAAAACCAGGATTAAACCAGGTCTAAACTAAACAGGTCTAAACCAGGACTAAACCAGGACTAAACCAGGACTAAACCAGGACTAAACCAGGACTAAACCAGGACTAAACCAGGTCTTAGCAAAAAAAAAAAAACATCTTCTGTTACAATTTCCTCGTCTTTGTTTCTCTACAACAAACCAACTAATCCAAAGTAATCAGATTACATTACTCACTTTAAGTAATTTAATGGATTACGTTACAAACTACATTCTGGGTGTGTAATCTGTAATCTGTAGGGGATTACATTTTAAAAGTAAACCTTCCCCACGCTGCTCGTGCACAAACACAGGAGGTTCTTTAGTGAATATAAAAATGCTGGGGTAGTAAATGTGCTCTGATGTCAAAAACAGATCTGTTATTGAATCTCTGTTTTATTGTCAGGCTCAGACTGGAGGCCCGAGCGACGGAGGGAGGAAGAGAGGAGGAGGAGGAGGAGGAGGAGGAGGAGGAGAGAAGAGACGCTCGCAGAAAAACAGGGTAAAAACGCCGGGGTTTCAAATCGATTCACCTCGTTCTGACGTCGTTCCGTCACCGCGAACACGAGCCGGCGTCACGCTCCCCGTTCAGATGTTTCCGCCGCAAAAAAACAGAGCTGCACTTCTGTTTGTTTCGGTCACATGCTGGAGGAACTCTCTGTTATTATTAGTCGTCCGAACGCTCTGCTCCAGCTTGTGATGTCATGAAGTGAACGGCTCCTTAAATTTACCTTTGGTTCAGAAGAGATTTGGAAATTCCACGACTGAAAAACACAAATCCAGATCTGATTGTGACGAAGAAACTGAAACAGAGGTTCATGGTTTTCTGTGTAAATGTGTGTGTGTGTGTGTGTGTGTGTGTGTGTGTGTGTATGTGTGTGTAAATGTGTGTGTGTGTGTGAAATGTGTGTGTAAATGTGTGTGTGTGTGTAAATGTGTGTGTGTGTGTGTGTGTGTAAATGTGTGTGTGTGTGTGTGTGTGGTGTGTAAGTGTGTGTGTGTGTGTGTGTGTAAATGTTGTGTGTTGTGTGTGTGTGTGTAAATGTGTGTGTAAATGTGTGTGTAAATGTGTGTGTGTGTAAATGTGTGTGTAAATGTGTGTGTGTGTAAATGTGTGTGTGTGTAAATGTGTGTGTGTGTGTGTGTGTGTAAATGTGTGTGTGTGTGTGTAAATGTGTGTGTAAAATGTGTGTGTGTGTGTGTGTAAGTGTGTGTGTGTGTGTAAATGTGTGTGTGTGTGTGTGTGTGTGTGTAAATGTGTGTGTGTGTGTCTCTAAAATGTGTGTGTGTGTGTGTAAATGTGTGTGTGTAAGAGTGTCTCTAAGAGTGTGTGTGTGTGCAAATATGTGTGTGTAAGAGAGTGTGTAAATGTGTAATTTATGAAGCTGCTGGAGAATACGACACACATTTACACACACACACATTTACACACACACATTTACACACACACATTTACACACACACATTTACACACACACACATTTCACACACACACATTTACACACACACACATTTACACACACACACATTTACACACACACATTTACACATACACACACATTAACCACACATTTTACACAGAAAACATTTACACAGAAAAATTACCATTTACCAGAGGTTCAGCAAAACTACAGCAGGACACTTCAGATGATGTGGAAAAGTTCCATATGGGCCCTTTAATAATAATAATCAATAATCAATAATAATAATAATAATAATAAATAATATTATCATGATATTTCTTTGTTTTCAGAAAAGTCCAGTTGAAGACGTCACTTCAGGGGATCGTCCCAGTTCTTCCTCTCCTCCTCTTCCCTCCTCCTCTCCCTCTGCTCTTCCTCTCTCCTCTGCGTCTCCAACCCGCCCCCGCCGCCCCCGCCCCCAAAACCAAAGGCACACTCCAAACCCTCGCTGCCCGGGATGGTCCCTTCGTCCGCCTCCCATTTCTCCTTCGTGACCCCGGTTCTCCCGGCCGCGTCCAACTCCTCCGCCTCCTCCTCGGGCGGCTCCTCGTTGGCTCCTAAGGCCCCCCCCTCGTCTCCTCCCACCTTCATCGCGGCCATCGCTCCGACTCCCGACGCCGCTCAGGGTCTGATGGGTCGGACCACGCCGAGTCCTCCTTCGGCCGCCGCCGCGGTCGCCCACAGTCCTCCGGTGGTGACAGACGCTCTGGTTCAAGCAGCAGACGCAACAAGTAAGACTTTTGTTTTATTTTAAATCACTTTAGGGGCACACGCTGTGGCGGTCACACTCTGGACTCGGGCTGTGGCGGTCACTCTCTGGACTCGGGCTGGGCGTGGCGGGGGGTCACACTCGGGACTCGGGCTGGGGTGGGTCACACTCGGGACTCGGGCTGTGGTGACGTCACACTCTCGGACTCGGGGCTGTGGCGGTCACTCTCGGGACTCGGGCTGTGGCGGTCACTCTCGGAACTCGGCTGTGGCGTCACACTCGGACTCGGGCTGTGGCGGTCACTCTCGGGACTCGGGCTGTGGCGGTCACACTCTCGGGACACTCGGGCTGTGTGGCGGTCACACTCGGGACTCGGGCTGTGGCGGTCACTCTCGGGACTCGGGCTGTGGCGGTCACTCTCTCGGGACTCGGGCTGTGGCGGTCACTCTCGGGACTCGGGCTGTGGCGGTCACACTCGGGACTCGGGCTGTGGCGGTCACACTCTCGGAGACTCGGGCTGTGTGACTCGTCACTCTCGAGACTCGGGCTGTGGTGATGTCACTCTCGAGACTCGGGCTGTGGCGATGTCACTCTCGAGACTCGGGCTGTGTGATGTCACTCTCGGGACTCGGGCTGTGGTGAGTCACTCTCGGACTCGGGCTGTGGCGGTCACTCTCGGGACTCGGGCTGTGTCCGTCACACTCGGGACTCGGGCTGTGGCGGTCACACTCTGGACTCGGGCTGTGGTGACGTTCACACACTCTGGACTCGGACTGTGGCGGTCACACTCTGGACTCGGGCTGTGGCGGTCACTCTCGGGACTCGGCTGTGGCGGTCACACTCTGGACTCGGGCTGTGGCGTCACACGGACTCGGGCTGTGGCGGTCACACTCTGGACTCGGGCTGTGGCCGGTCACACTCTGGACTCGGGCTGTGGTGACGTCACACACTGGACTCGGGCTGTGGTGACGTCACACTCTGACTCGGGCTGTGGTCACTCGGGACTCGGGCTGTGGCGGTCACTCTCGGGACTCGGCTGTGGCGGTCACTCTGGACTCGGGCTGTGGCGGTCACACTCGGGACTCGGGCTGTGGCGGTCACACTCTGGACTCGGGCTGTGGCGGTCACACTCGGGACTCGGGCTGTGGCGGTCACACTCTGGACTCGGCTGTGGCGGTCACACTCGGGACTCGGGCTGTGGGCGGTCCACTCGGGACTCGGGCTGGGCGGTCACACTCTGGACTCGGGCTGTGGCGGTCACACTCGGGACTCGGGCTGTAGTGGTTCGTCCTGGGTTAGTTCTAGGTTAGTCCTGGGTTAGTTCTAGGTTAGTCCTGGGTTAGTCTAGGTTAGTTCTAGGTTAGTCCTGGGTTAGTCCTGGGTTAGTCCTGGGTTAGTTCTAGGTTAGTCCTGGGTTAGTCCTGGGTTAGTTCTAGGTTAGTCCTGGGTTAGTCCTGGGTTAGTTCTAGGTTAGTCCTGGGTTAGTTCTAGGTTAGTCCTGGGTCAGTCCTGGGTTAGTTCTAGGTTAGTCCTGGGTTAGTCCTGGGTTAGTTCTAGGTTAGTCCTGGGTTAGTTCTAGGTTAGTCCTGGGTTAGTCCTGGGTTAGTTCTAGGTTAGTCCTGGGTTAGTTCTAGGTTAGTTCTAGGTTAGTCCTGGGTTAGTCCTGGGTTAGTCCTGGGTTAAGTCCTGGGTTAGTTCTGGTTAAGTCCTGGGTTAGTTCTAGGTTAGTCCTGGGTCCCTGTTAGTCTGGTTAGTCCTGGGTTAGTTAGTCCTGGGTCAGTCCTGGGTCAGTTCTGGGTTCCTGGGTTAGTTCTAGGTCAGTCCTGGGTTAGTTCTAGGTTAGTCCTGGGTTAGTCCTGGGTTAGTCCTGGGTTAGTTCTGGGTTAGTCCTGGGTTAGTTCTAGCTTAGTCCTGGGTTAGTTCTAGGTCAGTCCTGGGTCAGTCCTGGGTCAGTCCTGGGTCAGTCCTGGGTTAGTTCTAGGTTAGTCCTGGGTCAGTCCTGGGTTAGTTCTAGGTTAGTCCTGGGTTAGTTCTGGGTTAGTCCTGGGTCAGTCCTGGGGTATCACGGACACGGGCGGTAACTGCTAGAATGTTAACGGGTCCGGGCGGGTGCGAGTCTCTAAAAATAGACCCGTGCAGGACTCTGGGTCGGGTCACGTTGGTCACGTGCGGGGGGCGGGGCCTCTTAGCACCGCGCTGATTGCGACGGCTCTATTCAGGACGCTTCTTCACACGGTCTGTAAAACTCCACCTGTTTGTTTTATTCCAGGGAATCTGCAGAAACCATCTCACACTGAAACCTCTGAGCCCCAAGAACCACCCACCAGTCAAAACCCGGTCCACAACCAGACCCAAGACCCAGTCCCAGACCTGAGGACAGTCCAGACCAAAGCCCCTCAAGTCCCTCAAGTCCCTCAAGTCCCTCAAGTTCCTCCAGCCATAAACCACCAAACGATGCCTCAGATCCCACCATCCCACTCTCCTCCTCCTCCTGCCCCCCCCACCTCGTTTCCTCCGTCCCTCCCCCAGAACGATCCGTCTGTCCCGGCCGCCTTCTCCCTCCAGGACCCCCCGCCTCCGCCCGCCCCCCAGCCCCAGACGGAGCCCCAGACCGCGGTGCCTCTCCCGACCGCGGCCCCCCCTCCGTCCCCGGCCCCCCCTCCGTCCCTGCCGCCCGCCCAGCATCACTACCTGCCCCCCCCCATCCCGCTCCAGCAGCAGTTGGCTCCGTTCTTCCAGGATCCTCTGTATCCCGGGTTTCCGCAGGGACCCAAGGGACAGGTGGCCCCGACTCCGCCCATGTCCACCAGCCAATCAGGAGACGACCTGCCGACAGGTGAGCGCCGCCGACCTGGTTTAGACCTGGTTTTAGACCTGGTTTAGTCCTGATTTAGACCTGGTTTAATTTTGGTTTAGACCTGGTTTAGTCCTTGTTTAGACTTTGTTTAGACCTGGTTTAGTCCTGATTTAGACCTGGTTTAGTCCTTGTTTAGACCTGGTTTAGTCCTGGTTTAGACCTGGTTTAGACCTGGTTTTAGACCTGGTTCAGATCTGGTTTAGTCCTGGTTTAGACCTGGTTTTAGACCTGGTTCAGATCTGGTTTAGTCCTGGTTTAGACCTGGTTTTAGACCTGGTTTTAGATCTGGTTTAGTCCTGGTTTAGACCTGGTTTAGACCTGGTTTTAGATCTGGTTTAGTCCTGGTTTAGACCTGGTTTTAGACCTGGTTTTAGACCTGGTTTAGTCCTGGTTTAGACCTGGTTTTAGACCTGGTTCAGATCTGGTTTAGTCCTGGTTTAGACCTGGTTTTAGACCTGGTTTTAGACCTGGTTCAGATCTGGTTTAGTCCTGGTTTAGACCTGGTTTTAGACCTGGTTCAGATCTGGTTTAGTCCTGGTTTGGTTCAGTTTTTCTGTCATGTCTGATTCGTTTTTCTCTTTTAGATACAAACATTTTAAGATTCTTCTTCAACCTCGGAATAAAGGTACAAGACTCTGTTCCTCTTTGCACTTTTTAACAACATTCTCCAGCCAGATAATAACACAGAGTGTGTGTGTGTGTGTGTGTGTGTGTGTGTGTGTGTGTGTGTGTGTCCTGTGTGTGTGTGTGTTGTGTGTGTCATCGTGTGTGTGTGTGTGTGTGTGTGTGTGTGTGTGTGTGTGTGTGTTGTGTGTGTGTGTGTGTGTGTGTGTTGTGTGTGTTGTGTGTGTGTTGTGTGTGTGTGTGTGTGTGTGTGTGTGTGTGTGTGTGTGTGTGTGTGTTGTGTGTGTGTGTGTGTTGTGCGTCGTGTGTGTTGTGTGTGTCGTGTGTGTGTTGTGTGTGTGTGTGTGTGTGTCGTGTGTGTGTGTGTGTGTGTGTGTGTGTGTGTTGTCGTGTGTGTGTGTGTGTGTGTGTGTGTGTGTGTGTCGTGTGTGTGTCGTGTGTGTGTCGTGTGTGTGTGTCGTGTGTGTGTTGTTGTGTATCGTGTGTGTTGTCGTGTGTGTGTTGTGTGTGTGTGTGTGTGTGTGTGTCGTGTGTGTGTGTGTGTGTGTGTGTGTGTGTGTGTGTGTGTGTGTCGTGTGTGTGTCGTGTGTGTGTCGTGTGTGTGTGTGTGTGTGTGTGTGTGTGTCGTGTGTGTGTGTGTGTGTGTGTGTGTGTGTGTTGTGTGTGTGTGTCGTGTGTGTGTGTGTGTGTCTTGTCGTGTGTGTCGTGTGTGTGTGTCGTGTGTGTGTGTGTGTGTCGTGTGTGTGTGTCGTGTGTGTGTGTGTGTGTGTGTCGTGTGTGTGTCGTGTGTGTCGTGTGTGTGTCGTGTGTGTGTGTGTGTGTGTGTGTCAGGCGTACACTCTCCCGATGCATCCTCCGGTCATGTACCTGCTCCCGCTGCAGCAGGCTCACACCCTGCAGCCCCGAGCCGTGTCCCGCTCGCCCTCGCCGCTGCACCACGCCCACGAGCCCGCCTACCCGCCCTTTAACCCCGCCCCACAGGCCCCACCCACCCCGCAGGCTCCTCCCACCTCGTATCCCCCCGAGCCGCCCGCATCTGCCCCTAATTATAACCCCGCCCACAACTCCCCAGACCCCGCCCCTTCTACCTATAACCCCGCCCACAACCATCCAGACCCCGCCCCTTCTGCCTATAACCCCGCCCCCAACCCTCCAGACCCCACCCTTTCTGCCTACAACCCCGCCCACAACCCCCAGACCCCGCCCCTTCTTCCTACAGCATGTTTGACCACGCCCATTCCAATCATCAGGCTCCTCCCACTTCCTACAGCCAGCCCCGCCCCTCCCAGCCCCCGCCGGAGCCGCTGTATCACGCGGCGTACGCCCCGTCCCCGCACGTGTCCTGGCAGCAGCCCCACGCCAGCGCGCCGTACCCGGGCTCGTACCCCCCCTACACCCAGACGAGCTTCTACCAGAGCCACCACCACCACGGCTCCAACCAGGGCCCCCCGGAGCCGCCGCAGCACGCCAACGGAGACACGCTGCCGGGGCTGAGGGCGCCCAGGCTCCCCGGCGCCGTCGACGGGTCCACCTCGGCCAACGTGACCAACGGAGGTCGAGTGTCGCTGCCGAGCGTCTCCGCGTGTGGTAAGTTTATATTTACTGTTTAAAAAAGACGACAGACGAGCTTCAGATTGAAAACATGAGGTTTAAAGCCTCGTCATCCACACGTCAGAAGAACAGAAGAACTTTGTTCACAGAGTCGGACCAACAACATGTCGTCCTGATGTTGCTCCTGCTCATCGTGTTCACTTCTTGTGGTTTGTTCTCGACACTTCAGCTGAGCAGACGTTTGTTCAACAGTTCAACCCGACGCTCAGTGACGATAAAGTCAAAATGGAAGAAATTCATGGAGGGAGATCGATGACGAGGCGAGTGTTGGGAAGTTTACTTTTAAAATGTAATCCCCTACAGATTACAGATTACATAACCCAAAATGTAGTTTGTAACAGAATCCATTAAATTACTAATGGTGAGTATTGTAATCTGATTACTTTGGATTACTTGGTTTGTTGTAGAGAAACAAAGACGAGGAAATCATAACATAAAAAGTTCTGTCTGCTAAAAGACAATAAAAGGCTTTTATTGTCTTTTAGCAGACAGAACTGAACCAAATTAAAAATATTATTGATAGAAGAGGAGACATGGTCCATGCAGCAGGATTTAGTCCTGTTCAATCCTCTTACATCCTGGTTTAGTCCTGGTTAAGTCCTGGTTTTAGTCCTGGTTTTAGTCCTGGTTAAGTCCTGGTTTTAGTCCTGGTTTAGTGTCCAGCAGTGGAATTACCGAAAAAAAGAAAAAAAGAGAGATTTAGCCCAAAATGTGAAAACAGTAAAATCCCTCTGTGTAATCCATTTATTTCAACAAAGTAACTGTAATCCAATTACCACTCACTGAAACAGTAACTGTAACTGAATACAGTTACTCATCATTTGTACTCTGATTACGTAACTCCGGTACATGTAATCTGTTACTCCCCGGGCGGGGAGGGGGGGCGGGGCAGAGCGAGGGGGGCGGGGGGCAATACATCTTTTGAAGTAGGAAATGTCAGAGCCCAAACGCAGCTTGTTCTTCTGTTCTTCTGAAGTATAAAAGGCCTTCAGTGTTGCAGGAGGCTCCTGTCAGTTCTTCACGTTCTCCACCTGAGCGGCTCACGCTGAAACGGCTCTGGGAAAGGCGGAGCATCATGGGATTTGATTCTGATTGGTCGAAGCGTCACGACAGCGAAACAAACACAACTGGAGTCGAAATCCAGTTGAGAGAAAATCTTCTCTTTCCTCTGCAAGATTTTCTCAAACAAATGAGTCCATAGTGACGCTGAAACAGACGCCATGTTCACCGGGTTTGTTTTGGTTCATTCACCTGTGACTCCGCCCACCCCACAGCGCTGCTTTGTTATTGGTCCGTTCGAGTCTTTCAGGATGGATCTGGTGGTTTTGACTCAAATATCAGAGGATCCGTGTCACTGTGCAGGGTTAGATTAAAGCTCCTGTAACCCGACTCTTCACTGACTCTTTCCTGTGTTCCAGGTCACTCAAACCAGGACGGTGGGGAGAACATGGTGCTGCTGGTGGATCCTCCTCTGGACAAACCCATCGTACGTTTCACCTTCTGCTTCACACACATTTATTATATACACGTTTATTAAATCAAAGCAGGAGTCTCCAACCTGCAGCTCACCGAGGAGTTTCACCTTTCACCTTTGTGCTGAAGAATAAAAGTTTGGTGAATGACTCGTCTGTTACTGTCGTTCACGGGTCATTTTGAAGCCCAACTCTGTGCACTAATAAACGGACAGTGGTTTATGTTTTATTGGCGTCTCGCTGCACCCAAAGACTCGCCCTGTTTCTTAGAATCATCTCAAATTCTTGTAAAATCTAAAACGAGCAGCTCTCTGTCGTCTTCGTTTAGTAAATGTGGCTCATCCGAGGGAGAAAAAGGTTGGTGACTCCTGCACTAAACCATCTCCTGGGAGCTTTAAGTCATGTTCTAACGTTGGTCCCTCCTCAAAAACAGACCTGGAGACCTGGAGAACTCGTGGTAAATGTGCAGGTTTGTGTGATAAACGTGTTTAAAAGTGTGAATGAAACAAAACACAACTGCAGGTCTGTGCGACGAGGAAACACATGAGAACAGAGCAGAAAATCCTTTAATATGGACGTTTTCCGACAATCATGGATCTTTTTTTTTAGCCGAGTTTGCTGTACGTGTGTTGTGTCTCCATGGTAACTGCTGAACATTCCACCACACACACACACATGTAGAACCCCCCCAGCGTGAGGCGAGGTCTCCGTTAAGACTCGCGTGTCGTCCGTTCAGTCCCGTTAAACGTTCACGTCTGGTTCTGTTCCCGTGTCCAGGTCATAAACGTGCCCAAGTCCGGCAGCGGCCCCGGCTCGCCCGCCCTCTACAGCCCCGCCTCCCACTCCTCCGACTCCGCCCCCATCTACGTCAACCACCACAAGGCGTCCAATCACAGCGCGGCGCAGTACCTCCCCGCCGCGCTCACCTACATCCCGGGCTGCGGCGGCGGCGTTCCGTTCCTGCACGACCCGCTGTCCGTGTGCGTGGGGACGGAGGACGAGTGGGACGAGCCGGAGCAGCACCGGCTCCAGTACACCAGGGGCCCCCGCCGCGGCTACAGGGGCCGCTCCAGGGGCCAGTACCGACCCAGAGGCTTCCACGGCAACAACCAGTACACTCAGAGAGGAGGGAGGGGGCGCTACTGAGCAACGGCCAATCAGAGCGGACGACACTGACGCGTGAGTCTCTCCAAACCTTTTCAGTTAAGATGAAAGTACGACACTTCAGTCTGGAACTTTTATCATTCCATGTACATAGATATTTACTTTACTTACTTCATTTACTTATTTATTTTACGCACTTAATTACTTTACATACTTTACTTAACGTACTTTACTTTCTTTACTTTGTTACTTTACGTACTTAATTTGCATTACATATTTTACTTTACATACTTTACTTACTTACATTACATACTTTACTTTCTTTACTTTACTTAACATTTTACTTTACGTACTTTACATTACTTTACTTAATTTTACATACTTAACTTTACATACTTTACCTAACTTTACGTACTTTACTTTACGTACTTTATTTACGTAACTTTACATACTTTACTTAACATACTTTACTTACTTATCTTTACATACTTAACTTTACATACTTTACTTAATTTTACATTACTTTACACACTTTACTCACTTAACTTTACTTCATTGAATCCATTTTTTTTTTTTTTTTATTAAAAGTGACGTACTGTGGCTTTAAGGGCAGAGGAGGCAGTGCTCATGTACTCTGGAGTAATCTTTTGAAAAACATTTACTTCTTTTATAGCACAGAGTAACAGTACTTTTACTCGAGTAACAGCTGTGGCTCCTCTTCCCCGTGAGTCTGAAGTGACAGAATCTTCTAGACTTTGATCTGAAACGATTCTCACGTTTGTTTTTGTTGCAGCTTCTTCAGGTCGGAGCCACTTTGTCTCATTTGTCTCTTTTTTTTTTTTTTTTTTCTCCGTCCTCAGGTCTCGTGTCTCGTGTTCGTCCTCGTCAGATTCGACCAAAGATCTCGACGTGTTCAGATTCAAACTGAACTCGTCTCGTCTTCGTCTCTTCGTCCGTCGCTGCTTCGAGACTCGACGTTTGTGTTTAGATTCGTGAAACTGTTCCACTCCTGTTTTCCTGCTTTTATTTGATTTGATTTGATTGTTTTATAGATTCTTTAAAGCTGCACTGTGTCACTTTTCGGGTTTCTGTTTGTTTCTATGGAGACGTCGCCGCTCTGTCCGGAATGTTCCGCGGTGTGACTTTAAACAGCTCCACTTCTACATTTATTCAATCGCAGGTGCAGGTTTTATCGCTCAAAAATACTTAGGAAAAAAACAAAAAACAGACATTCTGGCAGAAAAGTTCCGCAGTGCAGCTTTAACGGTCGAGTAAACGTGGTGTGTGTGTGTGTGTGTGTGTGAGGAAGGAGCCAATAGGAGGCGGCGTTTTTCCTCGGTGGGCGGGGCTAAGGAACGGAGGCGGAGCGAACGGAAACGGGGACACGCCCACAAACCGCCGCCGCTCGTCGACTTTATAAAAAAAAAAAAAAAACACAAAAACAAAACAAAAAAACACTTCAAACTCTGGAACACTCTGGAACTTTTCCGGTCCTCGTCTCCATGGAGATGTGACCGGTCTGCCTGGAATGTCCCACAGTGCGGCATTAAACTTCATCTATCATTATTAATTATTACAAGTGTTTTTATCGTAACAGTAACGACGTGTGTTTCACCGTGGAGCCGGCTCGCCTCTCCGCGGATCTGACCTGTCGCCTGCTCCATCCCGGCGCGGTCTAATGCCGTACTGTGGAACATTCCGGGCTAAAAGCAGAGGCGGTTTCATCGGCGGGCGTCCGGACGAGTGACGGTGTGCGGCGGCGTCGAGACGGGGGACTGGACGGGGGGATTCTACGTGTGTCTCTACGGCGAAATGTTGAGCAGTTACCGCGGCGACGCACGGCAAACGGCAAAAAACACTGACGGAAAAAGTTTTAAAGATCGTCCGAAAACTCGAGAGAAAACGTGATTTTAAGACACATTTGTACTTTTTTTGGTCAAATTGTGTTAAAAAAAAAAAAAACAAAATTCGAATTAAAGTTTAACAGACGTTCAGACGGAGCAGTGCCTCCGGTTAGCGTCACGCCCCCAGAGAGCGTTTACGACGTCCGTAAAGCATCAACTTGTGAGCTGGCGTCGTCTCGATCGCCGTAGAAACCGCTCGTACTTTAAGATCACGCGAAGTCTCCACGGAAACGAGCCTTTCAGCTGATCCACCCTCACCGCCGCCGCCGCAAAAGTTCCGTCTTGTAGCTTTAACTTCACTTTTCCCTCATTTGCCGTCGACACCGCGTTGTAAAATGCTGCTACAGGAATCGCACTCGTAAAAAAACAAAAAAACCCATAAAAATCGTAAAACGTTTAAATCCAGGAAACGCCTTAAACGTGTGAACGCGGAGACGGTTTTGTGTTTGTTTCTGTCTCGATGAACTCGACTTTGAATGTAAACGGAAAAAACTTCTGACGCCGTTTCCTCGTCGCCGCCGACAAACCGGGAGTCGGGTTCGGTTTCCGTTTCACTCGATGACATCACGAGGTGGAATGGAGCGAAACGGAACAGGACGACGACGAGGAGGAACGCGAGGAGGTAAAAGTTTGGCGCGGTGCCGGAGCTTCGGTGCGTCGTATGAAATAGATCGGAGCACTTATCGGCCTTTATTTTGAAGGTGCTTGTGTGTTTACGTGCTTTTATTTTGGTGAACTTCCTTCTTCTTTTGTCTTTGTTGAAATTCTCGGTGCCTTGTAGAAAGTTCTGAAATAAAAAAACTGCTGTAATTTAAGAAAAGGGCTGTTCCACTTTGTAAAACTTTAATTGAATAAAGAAATCTTGGTTCAAAATGGAAGTTTGTTTTTACTCTTTGTGTAACTGACCCACAGACGAGACTAATACTCCCTACAAATAATACTCCCTACGACTACTGCTCAGTCACTTTTCTGATGATCTGGAGTCTTCAAAAGTTCTACAGTAAAACACAATAAAACAGAACATGAGTTTTCCATTTCAGACAAAATATCTGCACTTTTAAATCTGATTTTTGATCTGATCGTAATAATTCACACTCAGATCTTGTCAAGAAATTTAAAAATAATAAAGTTACATTTCTACAACTCATAAATACTCAAATATGCTGTGACTTTTTAAGAACAATTTAGTTTAAAAGTCGTATAAAGAATAAAAATCTCAGTTATAGTTGGTATTTTGGTTTAAGGACTTGAAGTGACTTGAAGCTCAAAGCAGACGACTTGGGACTTGACTTGGACTTATGGACTTGGACTCATGGGTCTGTGACTCGAGACTCGACTTTGGACTTGACTTGTAGACCAGTGACTCGAGACTCGACCTGAGACTTATGGACTTGACTTGGACTTATGGACCAGTGACTCAAGACTCGACTTGGGACTTGACTTATAGACCAGTGACTCGAGACTCAACTTGGACTCGATTTGGACTTATGGGCCCATGACTCAAGACTCGACCTTGGACTTGACTTGGACTTGAGGTCAAAGACTTGAAACTTGCAAAACAACGACTTGGCGCCCCCTCTGGTCGTGTACGTGTGTGTTTTGTGTGTGTTTTATTTATTTTCTCCTCCTCGTTTCTGAACTGAAAAGTAAAATTATTTGTGTTTTATTTTGGAACCTGCTGAAAAAAAAGTTTGAGGTCAAAAAGTTTTTATTTTTGTTCTTTCAGTAGATTTTTAAAGGTCTGGAGCCACTGAAATAAAAACAAACATTAAACCGTTTGGACTCGTGTGTTGTTCAGTTTCGCAGCGGCGTCGTGTTAGAAACTACAGAACTCACGGATCCAAAGTGTTTAATGTGCCGTTACCGTGACGACAAACTGAAACGTTCCACCTGGGAAAGTGAAAAGTTTGTTCTGTCGGTAAAATTCTCCAATATTTCAGTGATTTCAGTGTTTTAAATGAAGCTGGTTCTACTTTCTCCTCAGGGCAGTTGAGTGTTTGTTTAC